CTGCCCAGCAACGAAAGCAGCAAAACATCGGTGATGTGATGAAACCGAGCAGCCTCGAGCGTCACAACGGAGAGGGCCACGCGCTTGGAGGCCGGAGCGGCAACAGTGATCAGACCTTGGCTCCGAGCACCGGAGGAAGAGTTCAGTTCCCCACCGGCAATTTTAGCAAAGGTCAGGCCACGGATGTCCTTGTCATCGGAGCCCTCCAGCCCCTCAGTTGCATAAATGGCTTTGGCTGCAGCAAGATGCTCAAGGCAATCAGGCGCGGCAAGGTCGTCGTCGTCATGCACGCTGACAGAGAAAAAATCGTCTATCACAAGGCCCTGAGCGCCGCGACTGCCCTTGAAAGGCTTGTTCGAAGAGATTCGGGTAGAGGGGCCAAGCAGGCCTCTGGACTCAAGAAGCGACCCGTGAGCCTCTGTCCCGAACTCCACGCCCAACTGGTCACCCTGGGCAACCGAAGAAAAGCAGACGAGGTAGTGGCCAGCCTCAAAGAGAAGAGGATCGCGATCATCCTCAGGCGGCTCGTCAAGGAGACAGTCGGCACGGGTTTCGCGGCTGTCCGGCCACGGCGGAAGCAATGAAGAAAAAGCCTCCAAAGAGCAGACAGAGGACCTGGGCAAAGCAGGCCCAATAGCATTCGCAGCAGCCCGTGAGCCGGAAATCTTCAGTTGATGATAGAAGTCTTTCCTATCCGTAGCAGCACAGTAGACCGACTGGTATTTGGGATCGGCCTCAAGCATGCCCAGCATCGGGGCCACAGGGATGAACAAACTAGGCCCAGCCAGCTTGCACTCAGCGAAGTTCTGGCCGCGACGATCGATGATCATCCGGTCCCGGTCAGGGGCCTTGTAGCAGTTGAAGGCTCGCGAAAGGAGGTAAGCCTCCGAAACAACCAGACGGGAAGGAGCAAGACGAAGCAAGCCCAGCCCGTCCCAAAGCCTAGCCAGCTCAGCGACCTGAGAAGGGTCCTCACGCGTCCAGACGGGAAGAAAGGAGTCTGGCGGGGGAAGCCCATGCAACAGAGAACGAGGCTCACGAAAAGCCATGTAGAGCTCATCCGACAGATAAGGTTCGGGGTCCCAAAGGCCCCTCCCAGAGAGCCGCAATCTCGACACAGTCAAAGAACGGAAGGGATCAAGGCCAGGATGGGCATCGTTGTGCGTGGGGACCGCAGT